CTTCCCAGAGCAGTGTGTTGGGGCAGGAGGAGATGGAGGAGCCACTGGAGGCAGGGGGAGCTAAGCAGAATCCAGGTGGCTGCCAGGGCCATGGTGGTGCTGTCAGCAATTGCGGGTAGAAGCAGGCAAGGGGGCTTGGCCCCATGTGGAGCACCATGGGGACGGCTGCGGGATCATGCAGTCAGTTGGCAGGCTGGATTCATCCTGTGAGTTGTATTTTGCCCACCCCTGGTTTAGAGGGCAAGCAACTTAGACTCTGAAACAATTAGGATTAATTTGTAGGCCCAGATAACTTGCATCTGTATGTGAGGATAAACGTGTTTAGATTTGGTATGTTTGTTGTATTCCTCTGGGCCTATAGTAAGTTTTGTAGTGGAGAAATTGCCAGACTGAGATATGTGAGCTTGATGATCCATTCATTTACTTTTTAATAATTTAAGATGATGTCCCATAAAAAGTATGGGAAGAATTAGTTAGCCAGTGGTTTGGCAGACTGTTTGGGAAAGAAGCTTGCGATAGGATAGAGAGCAGGGATAGTCAGTTTTAACAGAACTTTATTTTCAGACTTTTGTACTGCTGCTTTCTTGCTTTGATATCTTGCAAGTAATCTTTGTTTTTCTTTTGGTTACCTCTGTAATCTAAACTACTATTTTTATGCTTATCTTTATTTCTTTAGCTCCTTTTATGACTATGCTGAAACTAGAGATGAAAGCATGCCTTAAACAGAAATTCTTCCTTTTGAGCAAAATGAGTCTCAGTCATTGCTAATCCCCTCCCTTTCTCATTGCACGTACTTCCCATGATCCAGAAGCTTATCATGTTTAACTGAACTTTTTGGGAAATGTCCCCTATACACAGCGGCAAGGGTGAATCATTAGTAAGAATTTATGCCAGCAGAGTAAATTTAAAGGCAAGGCTAATTGGTTTAATACTGTTTGTCCTATTACCATTGCATAGGAATGGAGAACATTTTCATAATTGAATACAGCTGGTCAACAATGAACTCTTGGACAACTCCAGCACACTAGTAATGAAAACATTTCTTAGAATGGCCTCAGGATTTTTCTGGTCCTCATTCTTTTCATTGCATGTTTGTGGTCTACAACTCGCATGGAAATCCATGTTCTGGCTAATCTCAGGACGTGAAATCTTTGTATTGTATTTCCTTTGACAATGTTTGGTCCCTTTAGTTGATTAAAGACAGTGAGCATCCTTTTTATGAAGGATGTTACAAGATGCTTATCAGACATTTTGTTGGTTTATTTAACTGTTTCAAATTGGTTTACACACTTCACTTGTTAATATTCTTTAGCTGTACTTTTGAGAAGTCTGTGAAAAGTATATTGGCCTTCTCACTGCCCGGACCTGTTAAAGCAATGGCTTCATTGGAACATTATTTCAACTAAGTTAAAATTTTTGAAACCCTTTCTGTGGTGTCAGTGCTTGCTTAAATTTAAGGGATACCCTTTTCTTCTACCATCTACAATTAATAGTTTAGGCAATTTGTGATATACCTCTAGTCATGGCATTTAATGTTTTCCTTCAGCCTTTAAATGTTAAGAATTGTTGCATGTAGCTACCAGCTATCCTGGCTTTGTAGCCAATTTTTGGAGAAAGTAACTGTTCTCACAAATTGTGGGTTGCAGCAGATTCACACACTCATTTCTTAGCATTTGAGTAATGTGCATATTAATGCTGTAAAATTCTGAGGGAACAAAATGAAAATTAGGAGTGCTGAAATGTGTGCCCCTTTTTTTCGAGGTAGAATGTGACGCCTTGTGAGGGTGGTTTGCAGAACAATAACTTAGATGTAGGCATCTACTGAATTCAAGGCAGCTGCCAGCTAATTCTGTGTGCAGATTGCAGGTTGGGCAGCCATTTTTGCAGGTCAAGCACAACGGGCCCCCCACAGCTCTGGCTGAGGGTGCCCTGTTAGTCCCACCCCTCCCTGCAGAATGCTGTGTGGCCCGAAACAATGGCTTTATTGCTCAGGGAAGCCATTAATCCGAGCTTAATGCATGGACTGACTTTTACTTCAAACAGTGATCTTCATCTTAAAAAGCTTGGAGGCCATTGCTTTTAACCTCTGTCACTTCAAATGACTCTTTCTAAAGTTTGTTGCATTGTGTTCTTTCTTTTACTCATTCTTGCTCATCAACTAGTTATTCTGTTCATTTGTTTCTTAACTTTTCTTTTTGGCCTTTTGGAGCATTAAGCACACAGATAACTTCTCTAAAAGCTTCTGTCCTTTGCCCGTTCTTTGGCTTCTTCCCAGTTGATTCCCCCACTCACAGAACCATTTGTCACTAGTCTTCTTGGTTCTCCTTACAATCTCTTCTCTGATGTTTTCCAGTTTAATGTTTGCTTTGAGATCCTGTGCTGTCGTATTCTTGCTAAATGCTCTTAATCTTGTCTCTTTTCATATAGTACTATGCTTCCTGCTGTCAGCCCACTTCTTTCATGTTTTTTTTCCAGCTTTATGACTCTGTCTATGCGCTTGACTCTTAACCTTCTTTTAAATGCTTGTTTGAGTGTCTGAGTTGTGGCATAAAGATAGGTGAAGATAGCTGATGCTAATCTCCTGCTTAATCCATGCTTGAGAGTTGAGAGTGAGTATTTTTTTTAATCACATCATAGATATGGAATGTATATCATACTAGCCAGTATTCATGGGGCTGCTTCTAATTTTGGTGATGGGTATTTACAGACCATAAAGTGTGAAAAAGTACTTTCACACTTCAGGTGTTTTATTTGGTGATGCTTGGGGAAATTTCACATTGTAAATGAAACTAGAACATTTTGTTTGTTTTGTTCGTTATGCTATGTGAAACACTTAATGAAAAGTGGAGATACATTTGTGTGGTGGCCCTTGCAGCACCTTAATAAAGCTGAGTGGGAGAAATTTTGTTTAGAGCCATTTGATGTTCTCTTGGCACTGTGTGGTAGCTTACTATGTAGCGCCATGCCCTTTATAGTGTTCATTCAGGGCAGAAGGTTGGGTGGGGATGAAGTGGAGAATGTAACACTTTAACAATCCAAAGGTTAATTATATAAACTGAAATTAAAGAGCCATTGTTCAGTACAGATAAGTTCATGGGTGTAGAGTGGTCTTTTTCAGCACTGAAATAAAAACAGACCTTTCAGTCTCTGGCAGTGGAGGAAAGTGTCTGTTTTTGAAGAGTACTTCGTTTTGCCTTTTGTCAACATGTACTGGTACAAATAACTACAAAACTCTCAGATAAATTTTGGATCCAGCCAGATTGGTAGGCAGCAGGTTGTCTTCAGGCCTTATTGTTTTTAGCCTCCTCCCTTGGCTGTGCTTACTCTTGCTGCTAACTACCTGGTCTCCAGGCTCTGGTTGCTGGTAGTGTCCTGGGGATGGCTGTCTTTGGCTATCGAAACCGATGGATCTCTAAGTACAAGTCTCTGCCTCTTGGAGTAAAGGATGAGATACCTTAGTTTTTAGCAGATTTACAAACCTTTTTGT